AACGATTAGCTACACTTGACTTGACTGATCACTTCCTTCTCCTTCAAGGCCGCCTCTTGCCTTCTAGGATTCTGCTCCTGCCTACTTACAGTCTTATCTTGATGAACACTCTTATCAGCCTTCCTTGCTGGCTCCTGTTCTCTCCTTCAGCACTTCCTGGTGGAGCACTGGAGGCCCAGTGCTCTCTCCTCCTCTCTCCTTACACCCCCCCGGGTGAGCACATCCTGTTTGGGGCTTCCCCTGGCAGGTGATGCCCCCAAGTATACCTTTGTCCAGGCCTCTCCCCAAGTCACAGCTCCCGCTGGAGCCCCCGGACTGGGAGCTTCCGGGGCTGCTTGCTTCAAGGCCGAGCCCATCAGGCAACCCAGCATCACTGGGTGATTTTGTGGGGATGGAAGGGAAGTGCCCTGCACCCAAGGGGCCGCCCCTGCTCCTGCCACTGGCTGGTCTTGCGTTCTATTTGGAGTAATAGGACAATCTCTCAACACCTGAGAGGGAGCATCAACTGCACAAGGTGAAATCCTGGGATCCGTGGAGCAGGTGGTGTCCAGCTAGTGCTCAAATTCACTCCATACGCCTTCTCTTATCTGGAAGCGTCGGGAATGTTCTTTCTCCACTCTGCTTCTGACCTAACCTGAGCTGCCTCCTGGTGTTACAGATACAGCACCCAGATGCAAAGAAGGGGGAGGACTGAGTCATGGGGTCAAACGGGGTCATGATCAAGGTCCCTCGGACCTTTTAGTCTGTAAACTACAGGTATACTGAGTGGGGATCATGGGGATTCTGTTGCAAAGATGATTTGAGAAACTGAAATCACCCCCTGCATTTGCCTGGATCGAACCACAGGCCCGTTGCGAGGAGTAACAAACAAATCCCTTTCCTCCAAACAGGAAAGCGACCACTCTTCCCATGGTCCCTGGGGTCCAGGAGGCTGCCCTTGCTGACCTTCCTGCAAGGAAATACCCAATCTCCCTCCCATTCCAGATACTCTGGCAGCCAAACCTCCTCTTCCCCATAACACGGGGCCCTGGCCATCTGCTGAGAGCTTTCACCAGTTACTGAAATAACCCCCAGTGCCTGGTAGCTTCTGAAATATAGATTAGTTACAAATGAGGAGCAAACCACGCTCTTCTACACAGGGACTGCGGTACCCTGTGGAGAGGGCTTAGGAAGGCCCCCATGCAGGTAGGATAGAGTAAACACCTGCCTTTCTTGCCTTACGTGGGCTCTGCTGTGTAGGACCTAAGAAAAACCCAACACGGGAGTCTCCCTGAGCTTCATCAATAAGCTGAGCGAAGGAGCCCACTGGAACTTCTGCAAGCATTCCAATGCTTCCATCAGTGGGGTTTTCAGAACCCCAAGAATAATAAACAAGGATCGTGTTTGTAGCCAGAGGCACAGGGTCAGGGAATCCCAAGATCTCCCTGTGCACACCTGGGGGAAATCAAAGCTTTCTTAGACCCCAACCGGATCCCCTCTGTACTTTTGCGAGAACGTCCAGTCATCACTGCATAAGGAAGACTCGGTAGCAGTCTCCCAAATAATTGGATTCAGAGAAAAGCCCAAAATTTCTTTACTGATTGGGGGGTGGGGGGTGGGGGGTGAGGGTGGCTAGAGCCTGGTTCTAACTTGCTCCAGAGAGATAACCAGGAAGTCCACAGAGCGACCCAGCGAGAAGCCCAGAAATCTACCCCCCAGAGGCCCCAGGGGGGAGAAGCAGAGACGTTGTGCCCTAGAGTGGGTTCTGAAGTTGGACTGAACCCCGATCTAAGCCGTCTCAGTGTGGGAAGGAGACAGACACACAGGCAGGAAGCAGGAAATTCCGTCCCCACGACTAACAGCAAGGAGAACTGGGTCCCGCGTGCGGGGAAACCTGAGTTCGTCCTGGTGGGAATGTGTACCTGGGTCCGCTCAGAGGATGGGTTGTTTAGGGAAAGCATTCCAAGTGGGTGTGCCTACGAGAGCCAGTGTGCCAAGGAGGCAAGCAGGAGCCTCCAACTGTTCGTGGGACACAGACAAGAGGTTCATGGGACCCCGAGGCTCTCCTGGTCCCCTTCTGGATTTGCTGGCCAGTCAAAGAGGGCAGCCAGCAGAAGGTAGCTCCGGGAGACAGCTCCTATCACTGCCATTGGGCCAGGGAAACCCAATACCATCATCCCCAGGGGCTGCCCAGGAAGGAGGCTGTGCTGCAGCCAGGGACTCTGACTTTTGAACTCATTCCAGGCTGTTTTGCTACTTCTTCTGTAAGGTCCAGCTTGAGACTGACCCCAGATTCAGAGACGGGTATTGAATGACACATCTGGGGAGAGGACTGAGGTCCCTTGACTCATCATCTCTGCGTCTGTGCGTGGTTCCCAGTGCTTTGCTAAGGACTGGGACTGCAGAGGGAGATGATACCACCCTGCCACAAGCCGAGCAATAGCAGGAGAGTGGAGGAATTTTACACTGAGCTCAAACAGAGGAACCATGGTGAGGATGGCACAGCACTGGGTGGCGCTTCGCTTGGTTGCGAATCAGAACTGATTCCATGGCACCTAACAACAACAGAGCCACGGAGGCATGGGCTTACGAGTGGGGCTCTATTCACCACACATTCCGCAGTTAGAAACCACCAGCCACTGCCTGAGAGAAAGAGGAGGCTTTCTGCTCCTGTAATATTTAAGCCGTGGAAACTCACAGGGCCGGTTCTACTCTGTCACATAAGGCCTCCAGGAGTCAGAATCAGCTCAGTGGCAGTTGAGCTCGATTTTTGTTGGTTGGGTTGTTAGCACAGAGCCTTCCATGGAATTCTTGCTCACAACAGCCCTGTAAGGTATCCCCAAAGGTGATCCACATTGTCTGTCCCACAAAGTGAACTGAGCATAAAAGGGCAAGTGCCCTGCTCAGGGTCACCCAGCTCCAAGTGGTAGAGCCAGGGCTTTAACTCAGATTGTCTCTCCAGAACTGTTCCATTGAAAAGTCACTCCCCAAAGTCATAGGCAGGGTTTGGGGTCACTAGCTGGTTTTCGGTGGTGTGGGTAAGTGGAGGGGATTAGTACCTTAAGGTACCTAAGGGAAGCAGATCTCCAACAAGGAGTGGAGAAGCCATATGTTCCTGGATCCACAGGCTCCCTGTGATGGTGAGAGAATGGCAGACCTGACTATAGTTACTGTGCTCCTTTGACAGTGGTCCCAAACCCATCAACCCCCAGATACTTGGAAACCGTGTTGAAGAACAGATGTATGGAATTTGGGTTCAGGGGGTCCGGAGAGGGGCTAAGACTCTGGGATTTTGCTATATTACCTTATCACTGGTAATCCTACTGGTCATGTGGTATTGGGAGGACCACTCTGCAGAAACTCATGAGGGGCACATGCACCCTGGTGGCCATGGCAAGCCTGGTCAGAGGCTTTGCGTAGCTAATAAATGGATCCTTATACCCCACCTCCTCTGAGCATGGCACCTATCTTTACCTGAACAAGCTCTGCTCACACAAGGAGTCGGCATATTAGCCGCCAGGCCTGAGAGTGCCTCCCTCACCCCAGCCCCACCCCCCACTCCCCACCCCCACTACAGAATCCCTCTCTCTCCTCTTCCCAGCAGTCCAGCAATCACTCTGCTTTAACTCACTTCCTTGAGTCCTTGGGCCTGGAAGCTTAGGACTATGGTCTCAGGAGACATCATGGTCAATCGGCACACTATCGTCCACAGAAACCACAGTCTACCTCTTACTTTGGTGAGCAGCCACTGGTGCCTTAAAAGCTCCTGAACACCTATCTAAGGTACAGGTAGTGGTCTTGCCCCACCTGGAGCAAAAAAGAGTAAGAAAAATCAGAGACACACGGAACAACTAGCCTAAAGGATTAACAGGTCACCTGGCTGTCCGTCTCCATGACCCTGAGACCAGAAGAACTAGATGGTGCCCAGCTGTCACTACTGACTATGGGGAATTAGGAGGCCCTGGATAGAGTGGGGGGTAAATGTGGAACCAAACTCAAAATCATTGGGGGAAAAAGAGGACTAGGTTTACTGGTTGTATAGACTGATGAAACCCTTAAGTCCCCCTTCACGTCTGGAAATGAACTCATCTTATGGCTCAAATTTCAGCCAAACAATTAACAGGTCCAGAAAGGGAACTAGAGACATACACACACCTTAGAATAACCAACCAATTCCGATGAAAAGGGCAGCATTTACCCAAGGAAAACACTTAGAAAAGTTAGGAAAGATGAAGAAATAGAACAGGAAACACAGGGATGAAGTGGGATAAACGCTGTTATATTGTGGAGCTTGCAATCAGTAAAGTAAAAAATGTATCTGAATCATTGAATAGAATAGAAGGTTTTGTAAACCATCATCCAATTCACAATAGAAAGTTAAATAAACAAATAATAATCCGACTATCTGACATCCCCAT